GTACTCTGGGTCTGAGAGCCTGAGGGCCCCCGAAGGTCTGAGTCTTAGGGTCCTAGGGTCCTAGGGCGTGATGGCATGTCGGTCCTTAGTAGGGTCATAATCCGCAGCCGCTCCTGCCCAGGACATCTGGGCCCGCGCGGAGCCGGGCCTTCAAGGGCCGCCAGGCCTTCCGCAACGCGCAGCCGGGCCTTCGCAAACCGTCCGGGCTTTCCACAACGCGGGGGCGCTGGGCGGATATTTCAAATCAAGTGGAGCTGGGATTCTCACCTATGCCGGCGATTTGGATTCATTGCCGGGTGGCATCACGGTTGAGAAAGCGAAGATCCAGAAGAAATTCGAACGGGTGGAAGAGGCTCTTTGCTACGCGGGCAATTGATTCGCACCGGCTGGCGACGCCGCTCTCCAGACCGAAACCGCGCCGTTCGGCCCAGAGGAGATGCACGAGACTTGGAGGGCCCAGCGGCGCCCGTCAGACCATCTTGGCAAGCAGAGGAGCACGGTCGCAAATGGAGTCAGCGCGCCGCTCAAGTTCAACTTCCAAAGTCCAAGCATGGCCCAGCATGGGTACCGACCGCGCAGGCATCCCATCGAGTCCAGACCAGCGCCAGTTCCCACAGTTGATGCTGGAGTTGCACGAGGCGCGGGCGTCTACGTTTCCGCACTGTGCGCGCAGGAGAAGGGTAGAGTACCACGTGAAGTTATTGGTCAGATTTGTTCCTTGGAGGGTTGTGGACGCCCAAAGAGGGGGATCGGACACGCGCCCAATGTTAACCGGCCCCATCTTTGTCAAATGCTGGCTCGGCGCGCGGGCGTCGGCCATTCCTCAACCGCGCGAGAGCCGATGGGCAGGGGGGCGAGGTGTCAGTGTTATGCACGCGATGTCAAAGTGGTCGGCAATCGGATGCAGGTGCCGATTTGGCTTTCTCGCGGGCATATGGTTACATCGACCGTGGGATTTGTGAGGCAGTTCTCCTGGCTCGTGCTACTCCTGGCGCGGTTGACTACGCAGCGGTAGCAGCCCGGGCGGGACCTCGGACGTCGAGCGTTGTTTGGCACTGCGCGTCGCCAATATATCCAGCCAGAGCCCCCCCTTCAGGGGGGCTCAGTGGCGCCAGCGGGCGCGATCGCAGTCCACGCGCCTCGGCGACCAGACAATGGCCAGGCGCGCATGGGCGACCGTTCCTTGACGAGCATGAGCGCAGACCTTGTCCGGGGCGACCTCAGCGCGGCGGCGGAGACGTTCGACAGGGGGCGCGGGTTCGTGGACAGTGCTCCGAAGCGTCAGTTGTAGAGTGCAGCAGATGACCCACCAACAGTCGTCGAGCACCATGGGATCAAGGCGAGACCGACAGACGCGGAGCACCCCATCCTTCCACGACATGAGTGGGCAAATCTGTATATCAAGCAGCTGAGACAATTGGATCAATCCCAGGTGGATCGGGCGCGAGGGGGAGATTCTCAGTCAGCTATATCAGACCGCCGTGGAATTGGGCCTCACCATTGCTTGCGCCGCTCCGAGATGACCCCCCCCCCCCGACTATTGCATCGCGCAGTTGCGAGGTCAGCGGGCGAGTGGCGGTGCCGGGGGAGGCGGCGGGCCCGGGGAGTGCACTTGCACCCCCGCCTGGGGGCGGCTCTTTTACGCACTAAACACTGCAGTCCATGAGAAGCTTGAGTCGGGGGTCGCCAAGACAGCGACGGTGGCTCATCGCGCTGCGCTGGGGGTTCAGTTCGCGAGATCTTCAGAGCAGCAGGGTTGTCTTCTTGAGGTAAACTTGATTGATAATCGTAGAGTCATGGCCGCAGTGACTCAGTTCTCTCTTCCGAGTGCATCACGCTGTGCGACCAGACGGCCACAGCGGGAGCGGCGCCGTCGGAAGGTTGAGCACGCGCTGAAAACAATTGCCAGCTGAAGGCGGTTCAAGCAAGTGGTGCTACCGAGGAACGACGCGAATGATATCGATGAAGCTGATTCACATGTCGCTTATTTTTGTTTTCTGCAAGTGGGCCAGGGGGCCCCAGACGCCGACGAGGAGCTGCTGGGCGCATCTGTCAGGCGCAGTCTGGTCTGGGACAAGAAGGCCGAGCGACGAGCCGCGCCGTCGCTGCAATGCGGCTTGGCCATCGTTTCGACACGCGTTGGCGGAGCGCCAGAATCCAATCCAAAACCTATTTTTTTTGCGTGATAAGTTCGAGTTGGGCCCTTCCTTTTGGGCCAGCGTTCGAGGGTGACGTCGACGAGCGGGCGGGCCACTCTCCCCCAGACGGAGATGCCCCAAGACAGGGCCACAATGATGAGGGCAGCTTGCGAGCTGGCCATTCTCGCCATGCAGATCGACCCCAGACGGCGCCTGCAAGTTTACCTCTGACACCGTCCTCATCATGCCGCAACACGGGGGCGGGCCTTGAAAACCGCCCGGGCCTTCCACGACGCGGGCCCGTCGACGTTAGTAAACGCAGTTTTTTTTGTTTCTTTCAGACGCTTGAACAGGATAACCAATTGCGCTTGCGCGCGCGGCGTAGGGCGCAGCATCGCGTTCGCAGAGCACGCGCGCAAACGCGCGCGCAAGCAATGCACGCACACGCAAACATGCGCGCACACGCACGCACGCGCGCACGCACGCGCGCACGCACGCACGCACGCACGCACGCACGCACGCACGCACGCACGCACGCACGCACACACACACACAACACACAACACACAACACACAACACACAACACACAACACACAACACACAACACACACACACACGCACACGCACACGCACACGCACACGCACACGCACACGCACACGCACACGCACACGCACACGCACACGCACACGCACACGCACACGCACACGCACACGCACACGCACACGCACACGCACACGCACACGCACACGCACACGCACACGCACACGCACACGCACACGCACACGCACACGCACACGCACACGCACACGCACACGCACACACACACACACGCACACACGCGCACACGCACACGCACACGCACACGCACACGCACACGCACACGCACACGCACACGCACACGCACACGCACACGCACACGCACACACACACACACACACACGCGCACGTGCGCGCGCAGTCACGGGCGCGCGCGGCCGGGCCCTCGAGCGGGGTCGCTCTGGATCGCCGCGCATGCCACCTGGGCGGCGGACAGCAGAGGGCCAGCCGGGGAGGGGTGTCGGGGGGGAAGTAGCACTGCCCGCCCCGGGGCATCTTGCTCGGAGATCGCAGCCTTTTGCCAACCAGGCGAAGTTGGCAGGGAGGAAAACACCGTGCTTGCACGCTGGTTCCTCCTCCGCATAGTTGGATCAACAGTTGTCCGTCGATTTAAACGACGCGTCAGTATGAGTTGAAATCTCGCGCGTGAGAACCACCCCCCAGACTGCGCAGAGACACATGCGCATGTCGTTTGCGATGCGACCGAGTGTTCTCGTCCCTCCGGCGCTGACCGCGACGGAGGAAGCCTGGCGGCTGCGGCGCAGGCCCACAACGCAGTCGCGCGGGACGCCGCTCGGGCGGCGTTCTACCACGCGCAGCATGGCGGCAAGAAATGCCCTTTCCGACGCGGTGGACAGCGCCGCGCTTGACGGGCCTCTGGCGGGCGCCGCCCTGGCTGGCAGGGCGCGCCTCTCCCCGGCGCAGGCCCTGGGTGTTGCCGCGGGCGCCGCCCGGCGAGGCCGCCGGCACCGCCGTCCCGCGCGGCCTCATGCAGGTCGGCCTGCAGAGGCGGCTCCGAGTCCGGCTCTTGCAGTAGGAGTGCTTTTTGATTTGCCTTCGGCGAGATGTTGGACTTCTTCTGCCGCCGCGCTCTGATCTGCGGCTGCCGCGGCGACCGGGCCGAACGCCGCGGCGCCCTGCGCGACCAGGCCTTCTTCGACGCCTTGGCCGCGCGCCAGGGCGGAGTTGGAGCGCCCCGGTCTGCTGCCCCCGCGCCCCGCCGGGGAGGCCGCCCCCTGGGGCCAGCAGGGCGGGCCTCAGACGCTGGCCGCCGCCCTGCCGACGTCCACCTTCCACGGTGGCGCAACGGCACGGCGGCCGCCTGGGACTTTGCCGCCTCGTTTGGGCTGCGCGCCGATCTCCTCGCCGCGCCAGCCGCTTCGTCGAGCGCGGCGACGGCGCGGCGCGAGGAGTTCAGATCGCAACGCCAGGGCACCGCGCGGTTTTGCGCGGCGCAGGGCTTCATTTCCCCTCCCGTGGTCGCGGAAACCCACGGCGGCGGGCGGGGGGGCGAGGCGCTGCGCGCAGGGCCTTCGAGGCCCCAGCCAAGTGGGCGGCTGGCGCGGCGGGGGAAGACGCCGCAGTGGTTGCGGGCCACCACGCCTAGCAACTGTCCGTCTCCCCGCGCGTGGAGAGCGCGGGCGGTGTTGCGGCGCTTCCAGACGCTGCAGCGGTCCGTCTGGCAGCGGCCACGGCTGCTTCCACTGCGGACGCCGCGAGAAGCATGCCCGGCGCGGCCTAGCGCCCCCCGCCCACCATCGCCTGTCTTTGCTGGCCAGCACGCCCCCCCCCCCCTCCCCGCGCCCTGCCGACGACGTCGCGCTAGCGGCTCCTCGCCCCGCCCCCTCGCGCGCCGCCTGGCCCTTCCCTGGCGGGGCAGTGGGTGATCCTTCAGAAGGCCCTCCCCCCGCCAAGCCGCAGCGTGGTGGGCCTGGTCGGCCACCCCGCGCCGCCCCTGGACGACCCCGACGGCCCCCCCCGACGATTGTCAACGGTCCCCCCTCCGACGCCCGCTGCCCATGCAGGGTTTCAACCGACGGCGGACTCATGGCCACATCATATGTTGTTCCTCAAGTTTACGAGTGTCGCGTGGACGACGACTCCAGTTTAGGAGTCGGGCAAAACAGGGCGATGGCATTTGCCAGCCCGCGACTCAGGCGTGCGACTCCTCGCGCTTTCGTCCAGTCAATTTCGTTATTCGTCTGCCGTGCCGCCGAGCGCTCTGACGGTCCTCATTTAGATCAGGAGAAACATTGGCCTTCAGCGGTCGTGTGCGAGCACAGAGGCGGACATGGCGGGTGGCGCCGCGACGAGGAGGTCTCGCGGTCCGTTCATGTGTTGTCTCTCCTTTCCTTTCTCTTCCTTCCCGTATCCAATGTTTCAGTCCCTCTGCCCTTGTCCCCCGTTGGATTCTAGCATGTAGTGGAAACCGTGGTTCGCTCCCGCGCGAACTTCTGGGCCCCTTCTGGAGCCTAACTCGATCAAACACAATTGATGTTTGCAGGGAAGAAGGTGATACGCATCTAGGCCTCCTTGTTTCTTGCATTTGTCATTCAGTTATTTGTATTTCCTCGTCTTCGGCATCCTGTTCCTCCTCCTCCATTTCCCCGTCATCCCGTGGCATCCCCATGCCAAGCAAAAATGTCGACATGTTTGCCCCGCACAGATGTCAGCTCGCGCAGCAGGGCAGCCTTGGAGACACGGCCTTGTCAGCTTAAGTGTGCCACGTGTTTTCGTTCTGGACGGATTGCGCGGCCGTAGCTTGGCGGCGCGTCCGATACGCAGGTGGTCACTGGAGGTTCCGTACCCCAGCCCATTCGGTGATCCAGTGGAACTTAGGAGGTTATATCAGTGCGACCCTACCTAGGAGTTGGAGCCCGTAGGAAAGCAGCATTAGTAGTAAACATAAAGCTAAGCTGAAGCTAAGCTAAAGCTAAGCTGAAGCTAAGCTAAAACTAAGCTAAAGCTAAGCTAAAGCTAGCGCTAAGCTAAAGCTAAGCTAAAGCTAAGCTGCAACTAAAGCTAAAGCTAAAGCTAAAGCTAAGGCTAAAGCTAAAGCTCCCAAGGGACTGGGGGAACCGCGGGGCGGGGACTGGGGGAACCGCCAGGGGCGGGCAACACTGCCCGGCCCCTTTAAGCAAAGAGAGTAAGAACCTTTCTAGGCGGAGCCTAGGTAGGGAACGTAGTCAAACAACATACAAAATAAGCTAAGCCAAGATAAGGGGGCGCTATGCTAAGCTATGCTAAGCTATGCTATGCAATACTGTGCTATGTTATGCTATGCTGTGCTATGCCATGCTATGCTATGCTACGCTAAGCTAAGCTACATTAGGCTAAGCTAAGCTAGGCTAAGCTAAGCTAAGGTAAGCCAAGCTAAGCTAAGCTAAGCCAAGCTAAGCTAAGCCAAGCTGAGCTAAGACGAGATAAGCTAAGCCAAGCTAAGGGGGCGCGATTGGGGGAACCGCGGGGCGGGGACTGGGGGAACCGCCCGGCAGGCGCTAGGAGTCTACCAGCTAAGCTACCTAAAGCTAAGCTAAGCTAAGCTAAAGCTAAAGCTAAGCTAAAGCTAAGCTAAAGCTAAGCTAAAGCTAAGCTAAAGCTAAGCTAAAGCTAAGCTAAAGCTAAGCTAAAGCTAAAAGCTAAGCTAGCTAAGCTAAGCTAAAGCTAAGCTAAAGCTAAGCTAAAGCTAAGCTAAAGCTAAGCTACAGCTAAGCTACAGCTAAACTAAAGCTAAGCTAAAGCTAAGCTAAACGCTAAGCTAAAGCTAAGCGAAAGCTAAGCTAAAGCTAAGCTAAAGCTAAGCTAAAGCTAAAGCTAAAGCTAAAGCTCCCAGGGGACTGGGGGGAACCGCTCCCAGGGGACTGGGGGAACCGCCCGGGGCGCTTTGCACTGCCCGGCCCCTTTAAGCTAAGAGAGTAAGAACCCTTCTATGCAGAGCCTAGGTAGGGGAAAAGGTAGTTTACTCGTGGGGGGTTCTCGCGGCACTGCCCCCCCCTTCGTGCAGGCAATGGACATTGGCCATGCTCCTGTCCCCGGACTTCCCGCCGTTTGATTATTCAACGCTTTGCCCACGACGTCAGAAATTTGGTGTTGGCACAGCCATGTTTGAGGGAACCCTGCGGTTTGTCCACCTTGGTTTGGGGAGGGGGCGTCCCGTCAAGGGGCTTACATGCAGAAGGAAAGCGTAGGCGTGTTGAGTGCTAAGCGGCAGCGTGCTCTGGGTTCGGTCTGGTACAATGTTGTTGGCATCCACTCTCAATTAAACCACGAGGAAGCCAGTATGTTGAACGAAGAGATAGCCAATACTTGTTTTGAATTCCGGGCATCGTGAAAATCCACGAGCGCGTAGGGCCCTCTGAGCTGTTCCAGGGAGCCCCAAGACGGCCCAAGATGTTTCCAAGACGCCCCAAGAGAGCCCCAAAGTGATTCCCAAGATAACATCCCGAGGCACAGACGGCTTGAAATTTGAGGGTGTAGAACCGAAGTGGAACGGAGGCCCTCAACAGGCTCATCTGGGGCGTGCCCCAGGTTGTCTCGCTGTTGTCCCGTGGTTGTCCCGTGGTGTGCCCGCAGTTGCCCCGCAATTGTCTCGTGGTTATTCAGCGGTTCATTGGTAAATGTCCCGTCCCGTGAATGTCTAGCGGTTGCCTTTTTTGTGTAGTGTTGTAGGTAATGAAACGAGTACCAAATACACACAAATATATTTGGGAGTTGTATATATCCTGTGAATGGTAGATCAGGATACCGTTCGATGTATTAATTGTGCGATCAGCAGATGAACATATTAGTTCGGTATTTCGTGCGATTCACCGGATGGTAGCGAAATAGGCATATTAATATTTGAGCTTACAGATAGTTCGATCGTGGTGTACCGTGGTTATCTTGCGGTTATCCCGTGGTTGCACCGTGGTTGTCCCTCAATTGTCCTTTAATTGTCCCGCGATTGTTCCATGGTTGTCCCGTGGTTCCGTGGTTGTCCCGTGGTTGTGTTGTGGTTGTTACGCGATTGTTCCGCGGTGGTTCCGCGGTTGTCCCGCCTACGCGGTTAGATGGATCGATCATGATATTGATGCGCATATTGTGTATACATGCTCACCGATGTACATCTACATAGATTGTGAATATGCACATCACACATATTGCATACACGTAGGTTCTCTTTTGATGGACGACATAATGCAATGCACATGGGGGTATGAACATTTATTCTTCATGTACATGCATATGCGCATGAGCAGTGGTGGTGGGTCAGGCATTGGCTCGCGCGTAACATGAAGACAGTGTCAGACATATTTGTAGTTTGATAGTTTGATCGATGGACGGACAGCGTGGCCTGTGTACTAGGCTCCCAAAATTATCCCGAGTCGGCCCAATTTGGTTGTGAGACGACCAAAAAGATCCCAAAGAGGACCACGAAGAAGGACCCCAGCAAACCAGCATGGTAGACCAGCACGGCAGGCCCTGTATAGCCCCGCACCCCCAAGGCCTCCAAGAGGCCTCCAATGAGCTCCGTAATGTCCAGATTTCACGCATTTCAGACGTGCACCCCGCGAAGCGAAAGGAGTTCTTTGGAATTGGTGGCAAGGCTGGGAACCCGCCTAGCCGCGAGTCGTGATTGAGATTGGTGATGAGGTTGGGAACGAGTCCTCCTCTCCTTCTCTTCGTACGGTCGGCCATGATTAGTAGGTCGACCCTGCCAACTCAAGGGTACCCTTGCGTCCTGCGTCTCGCTACCCATGCCTGCTGCATTCCTGCGGCAACGTGGCCCTCGGAAGGGCCTCGTGTCCTCTCGCGTGTCCTCTCCAATCAGGTACGAAGGTATCTTCACCCATGATGATCCACGGTCCTCCCAGTCTTACTCGTCATATCCCTCCTCCCTCGTCATCATCCTTCTTCGCCTCCGTCATTCGCTTTGTCCGCCTATGGGTCGCTCGCCTCGCAGGTGCAACGGCGTGTGTGCCAATTCGTTGCGAGCTCGCTCGCGCGAGAAATGCAGTCCACCCGAGCGCGTGACGAGGGCCTGGGATCCACGCGGGCGGCTCCTCCTCCTCCTCCTCCCACTCTAGCGCAACGCCGTGTTTCTTTTTTCGTATTATTAGTATGGTTCCTCTTCTTCTTGCTCATCATCATCATCCTCATCATCATCATCAGCAGCAGCAGCATCATCATCATCAGCATCATCATCATCATCATCAACAACAACATCAACATCAACATCGTCATCGTCATCATCATCATCATCATCATCATCATCATCATCATCATCATCATCATCATCATCATCGTCCTCCTCCTCCTGGTCCTCCTCCCTCTCCTCCTCCTCCTCCTCCTCTTCCTCCTCCTCCTCCTCCTCCTCCTCCTCCTCCTCCTCCTCCTCCTCCTCCTCCTCCTCTCCGTAACCATTTTGGCTCAAGATGCCTTGTTCCACGGGGGAACACGTGGATACTGCTAGTCCGCGGGTTGTTTTCAGGTGTGGGTCCGAATCGGCGCGCGGGGTGCGCAGATGGCGGGCGGCAGTGGCTCAGGCAGCGGGCGCGCAGCAGGACGCCAGCGCGGCCCACTGCCCCAGTCGGGCAACGGCGCTGGCACGTGGTCGCGGGCGGCAGGGGGCTCCCGATGGGCCGGCGTGGGAGTGCTGGGCGTGCGGGTTGGGCGACCAGTTCGGTTTCCGCACCCACTGCCGCGACCCCCACTGCCATGCGCCGCGCGCTGGAGGTGTCTGGTCGGCGGCTGGCGCTGGCGCGACGCAGCGTGCGGTCTCCTTGGCGGCGAAGCTCAAGGCGGTCGAGGAGCGGGATGAGGCCCTCCAGGCGAAGGTCAAGGCCCTGGAGCACACGTCCGCCGAGGCAAGCGCAGGGGCGGGCCAGGAGAACGCGCGGCCGTGGGCCAAAGGGCCGAGCGAGGTCGAGAAGTGGCTGCACAAGAAGAAGTGGCCCGAGGCGGAGTGCGACTGCTCGTCGGGCCACTGGGCGGGGGCGCTCGCGGACGTGGAGGCGCAGCTGTGGTCAGCCCGTGAGCCACGGGACCGCGCCAAGCCCAGGGCTGCGCAGCTGCGCGAGGTCAACCTCCGCGCCGAGAAGGCGGCTGCCACGCTGGTCGCAACGGAGACTGAGGAGCAGCGGTGCCAGACAGCGTTGCAGGCGGCGCGCGCCAAGGTGCAGGAGGCCAAGCAGGCTGAGGAGGCGGCTCGCGCGTACCAGGTCGAGGTCCAGGCGCGCGTCGCTGCAGAAGGGCCGAGGCATTGCCGACGACGTGGACGTGCTCCGTGTGCAGCGCGTGCACCTCGCAGGCCGTGTGGGAGCCAGCCTCGAGGAGTT